ACCAATCAAGAACATCTTTATACACGATATTTCTTGTGCTTCTTCCTATGGGGTCCACTTTTTTTTTAGGCTTTGCCAAAATCCTTGTCGTTTTCCTTGACACCCCTCTTGATAATGCAACATAAAGCTGCCTATGCGAGAATACAGGCACCGGAAGATAGATACCGGCATTTGGGATGGTTTGTCCATGTGATTTATTAATTGTCATTAGTCTTGTTCCATTGCATAGTCCATTGTTAGGATCAAGGGTGTGGAGGAGAATAACAAGCCAGTTGACCTTAAACTTTCAGCTCATGTGGAGGGAGGCTATTTGGAGTTATTGTGTTCAGAAAGTCCAAAGGGTAGTTATTTTGGGAATCATCATCGACGGAATCAAAGCTATGATAAATCTTTTCCTTGATAGGAAACCTGTCGATCATATTCGTGTTCAGCTTATCCACGAAATCATTTTTTGTTGAGAGAATGGTCCGTGTGCTCATATATTCCGTGGAGGTCGTATTTCTCTCATCATTGAGCGACGGGAACACATATTCAATCAGTGTGTTCACTGAATCCTCGCTATCCCCATAAGGAATCACAATTTCATCAGGCAAGCGAACATAATCATCTCTGATAGTGTTTTCAGTGCCATTTCCAATTCTAAGGAGATATTCCGAAAACCATGGATCAGATTGAGCCCTCATGTTACATGACAATCATATCTTCCTAATATTTTCCCATAAATACGTTCTCTGCAATGTTGCATCAGTTATCTGGGCCCTTGTCCCACATGTAACCACGGGAAGAACCTGTCTGAAATCACCGCCAAAAACAATAACCTTTCCTCCAAATGGCAATGAATAACCCATAATGTCTTGAAGAGACCTATCAAGTGTCTCAACAGCTTGACGCTTCGTCATTGCAGCTTCATCCCAAATAATTAAGGACGCCATGCGAAGCAATTCCGCAGTGCCACTTTGCTTCGTGAAGTTGCACATGCTGTTGTGAGCAATCTTAATGGGGATGGATTTTGAATCTCGAGTGTGCGGTACATCCTCTGGGCAAAATCGACGCTGCTATACCAGACGTCGCAGTTGCAATGGCTATTAATCCCTCGGACCGCACTCTAGCAAGAAGCGCCTTGTACAGAAACGTTTTGCCAGTGCCACCTGGGCCGTCGATAGGTGATCCATTTTCATCCATACCTAGTCAGTAAATTATGCTATTATTTAGTGCCCTTGCATGTATATTAAATAACACTTATGATAATTTAAATTTTATTTTCCATCGAAACAAGAAAGTAATGGAAAACATCAGCCACGTGTGAGGCAATATAATGACAAGGTTATATATACATGTACGCACGTCACACATAAGAAGGACGCACGCGAAATGAATAAATATTTTTATCAAAACCGTTGTAAAATGTTATGCATGTCAGATGCAAGAAAAAAGATGTGTATTTTATAGAATATATCCTGAGACACCAATAGTGTTTTCGGTCAATATAGTTATTAAAATATTTTTTTGTTATAATATTTTTGTTCACAAATTATTAAATTTCATATTTGTAATCATACACATTTCTCGCAATATATCTTGTTTTGGTTTAACATTTTGCAGACTCAATAGCGGTCCATTTCCATTCATAAAAGAATAATAAATACTGAAAATTTCGTCCAGGCCAAGAAAAAGAAAAAACAGTCCACACGAAAAACTTCAGTGAAGAAATACAACAAAAAATTGAACAACATACAGTTGGGTATAATTTAGTTGACTCTAATTTGATAGAGTACCAGGACTAATGAGAATGTACAATTTACAAATCTGCATACATTCAATACATCTCCAAACTTTGGAAAGAACTATTCCTGAAACATAGTATTCAGACCTCAATTTCAATGTCACTTCCAGACCTCAAACATAATATTCAGACGTCAATAACAATAATAATAATAATAATAATAATAATAATAATAATAATAATAATAATAATAATAATAATAATAATAATAATAATAATAATAATAAAAAATGAGGTCTTTGCAGTTAGCATCCTAAGGACAATCTATATCAAACATCTGAAATTTAGAGCTAATACATGTGAATTCAGAGCACGACAAACTGAAAGATTAGGAGCCATATTAGGGATGGGGAGATAGATAAGGGGGAGGGGTGGGGGAGGAGGGTTTGTGTACCTCCTCTCGGTGTCAGAGGGGATTTGGTTTGGCGGTGGTGGCGCTTGAGGCGGATGAGGTGGCAGTGCGTTGGTGGAGGAGGTAGCGGCATATCAACGAAGCAGATCGGCGAGGGAGATTTGGTGGCTTGGAGGCGGGTGCCTAGGCAGAGATTGGGGGCGGTGGCGACCTAGGACCGGCGGTGGACGACCTGGCGGCGGGCTTGTTGCCTGCAAGAAGTACTTCGGGATGCCAATTATTTTGTAGGAATAACTATATCGATAAATAGAAGATGTAAAAGAATAATTAATATTTGAGGGATCAAAGAATCAAGAGAATAATTACATAATTAATTAGTGGAAAATAGCATGCTGATGAAATCAAAACTCATTCAGCTGCAATAGTGTCCTGCCTCAACTGAAATTTTGCCTCAATATTTTGCCAAAAGAAAAAACTAAAGGCATTTCATCAATTTTGCTCCTTTCTCTACATGTTTATAATTAAAGCTGCCACAAAACGAATGCTCCATATATTTACAAAATATGTCCACTCATAATTGTTTTCAGTGTTCATGTACGAGGGAATAACAGATTAAGGTGGTAATGCTGAAATACTCCATTGTAGTATAGTAGCTTATAAGACATAAGCAACCCTTTGACATGTTCATCAATGTGGTATTTATCAGAAACATCTATTTTAAATCGCGAAGTACTATTTGTTTTTCAAACGGTAAATCAAAACTCATTCAGCTGCAACACTAACTGATTTGATCTGAACCTTGGTCACTGGAATTGCGTTGCATATGTTCTTCTTTAGCAATCAGGAGTCAAGTTAAAGGTGATTGAATTTCAAACCAGTTACAAAAAAGATCCATCAGGGTTCTTCTTTAGCAAAAATTAAATAATTCATATTTATATGTGCGTAAAAAAGCCTACTGCTTATTGTTTGGATGATGACAAAAATCAGCACAAATCCAGGCCGAAAGGTAAACAGTGATATGTGCTTACCTTTTAATTTGGAGCAATTAGGCACATGCAAGGTGATTCTTTCTGTTCCCTCCAGGTCTTCTATTTCTGACCCTTGGAATTGGCGGCTGGGCAAAATCATAAAAACCAGAGCATAAAATAAACTCCCAATCAGTTAGTATGTAGTACATAATTAAAGGGTTGCGGCTCATGCAAAAATCTTTTCATATAAAACCTATGAAATTTCGTCACCAATTCAGAATTGCATGGTAAACAGGAATACCATTATATACCTGTCCTACTCCATACAACTAATTTATATATTATAAACTTGTCGTACATCCACATGCTCTTAGGGCATATAATTTGTAGATTGATAAAAACACAAGAAAAATCACTTAGTTGTCATCCTGGATATAATGTTTGGATATAATGTTTAGTTTCATCATATAGGCATACCTTCGCCTCACTCAATGCAGCAGCTCAGAATGCTCTTTGTTCAGCTGCAAGGAAAGAAAAACCATTTAACTCTGGTATAAAAAGAAAAACACTGCATGCTGTTTTTTATTATTTGGCATGACGGGGACAGCATAATAACCAACCACTATGTTGTTTTGTTTTTTTATCATGATCTAAATTTTCTCTGAAACCTCTTGATTGTCTATCAGATAATATTTCCCAAAGAAATGAATAGTGCAAGAATCAAATATTCTTTGACCTCCATCAACTTATTTTTGAAAGTGCGGTGACTTTTGAGAAAACATATATCGCTACTGGCACTTGAATTTTAGTGCTAAATTCATGCACGCACTAAAGGAAAAAAAATAAATTGACGAAATGAGGCATTCTGTGCTGTATAAAACATGTAATGATTCTTTTATGTTGATATAATTAATTGAAAAAAAGAGAGACTAAAGGACGAAATGCCAATTTTGCTTACACGCATCTGGTGGACTGGATCCACACTGTTGATCGATATAGGCGAGAGCAGGCAGAAACAGGCGGGCGTCGCTGTCTTCGGCGGGCAGCAGGCGGCGACGCGGTTGATCGATGTAGGCGAGGGCAGGCAGAAACAGGCGGGTGTCGTCGTCTTCGGCGAGCAGCGAATGAACTGGAGGTGGAGGCGGGCATCGTTGTCTTCGGTGCGCAGCAGGCGGCGAGGCATCGCCGTCTTCAGCGGCGACCTAGTGACGTGGCGGAGGGAGGGATCCTAGCGGCAGCAGGTGGCGACCTTCGTCGGAAACCTAGCGACGCGACAGAGAGGGGGATCCTAGCGGCAGCAGGCGGCGACTTTCATCGGCAACCTAGCGATGTGACGAAGAGAGGGATCTTACCGGGAATGAGAATGGCGAAGGGAGGGATCCGAGTGGGAGCGAGAATGGCGGATCGGTGGATCCTAGCGGGAGCGAGAATTGAGGGGAGGAGAGGCCGATTCGGTATTGAGAGTTACGGGAGAAGGGGGAGGGGAGGCCGATCGGGAGTTACGGGAGGGGGTGGTGGGTAATCTGGATCGTTGATTGTTCAGTATGCGATTTAGGCCATCCGATTTGTCCAATGATGAATGAGTATGAGTAAGATGAGTTGGTGCATTATAGGGTAGATAGATTACTAAAATTTTATCATTTTGTTTGAAAATCTAACATCTTTTTACCTGTTAAGTGAAGAAGAGTTTTTTGAAAGGTCTTGGACTTGTATCATGATGATCTAATAAATGTTATTATAGTTTTTCCCGTTGCAACGCACAGGCACCCTCTTAGTTTTAATAAACTTCTATGGTGGCATAAAATGGGCAAAATAGATTTTTGTGAAAGCACTAAAACATTGTGACGAAATTCCAATCTTTACCCTTGTCGATCGAACGTTCTCAGACTCACGCTCACCCTACCTCTCCGTTGGAGACTAGGGTTTACAGCCATCTGCTCTCCTTTGGTCGTCTTCGTCTTGGCCTTCCCAAACCACCTCCCTCCCCCCGACTTATCCCCATGGGCAAATCCGGCGCAAAAAAGAAGAAACCCGCCGCCGCCGCCTCCGCCTCCGCCGCCGCCACCAAATCATCTCCCGCCGCAACAGAGCCGAAGGCACCGACGCAGTCCCAGCCCCCCGCGGCCAACGGGGCGGCGCCGCATCTGGTGGACCCCGCCGTGCTCCTGCGCCGCGCGCACGAGCTCAAGGAGGAAGGCAACCGCCTGTTCCAGTCCCGCGACTACGGCGGCGCGCTGCGGCAGTACGAGCTCGCTCTCCGCCTCGCCCCGCGCGGCCACCCCGACCGCGCCGTCTTCCACAGCAACCGCGCCGCCTGCCTCCTCCAGCTCCGCCCCGTCGACCACAAGGCCGTCGCCGAGGAGTGCTCCCTCGCTCTCCAGGCGGAGCCGCTCTTCCCGCGCGCGCTCCTTCGCCGCGCCCGCGCGCTCGAGGCGCTCGGTCGCCACGAGCTCGCGCTTACCGACGCCCTTGCCCTCCTCGCTCTCGACCCCGACCACCAGGACGCCGTCGACCTCGTCCACCGCCTCCGCTCCCGCATTCTATCCCCGTCCTCCTCAGCCTCAGGCTCTGCCACCTCCACCCCCGAACCAACTAGCCGCCCCTCCCCTGCTGCTCTTGGTGCCTCCGCTGTTGTTGCCGGCCTAGGCCCGTCCCTCCCCGCTCGCCCTTTCCCCAAGAAACCATCACCTCCTCCTCCGCCTGCTCAACAACAGCAATCGGTTCCTCCAATGTCAAAATTTAATCCGTCGCCACCATCGCCCAAGTTGGTGCCTTTCTCCAACTCTCCGCCATCTTCTGCCAACGCATCAGCTGCTGAGAGCTCCCAGAAGGTCACGCCGACACCTCTGGTTCCCTCTTCACTTTCGTTGAAAGACAAAGCGCTGATGGACAAGAAGGTTGTCACAAGATCAAGGCCGCTCAAGCTGGTGTACGATCATGATATAAGGCTTGCGCAGATGCCAGAAAAATGCAGCTTCCGAACACTCCGTGAAGTTGTGGCATCACGATTCCCATCGTCCAAGGCTGTGCTGATTAAGTATAAGGATGCTGATGGTGATCTGGTTACCATTACTTGTTCCGCAGAACTTCGATTGGCCGAGTCCTGTGTTGATATAGCTGGCAGTGAGGTGATAGAAGATGGTGCACGGCATGGTCAGAAACTTCCAATGTTGAGACTTCACATTGTTGAAGTAAGCCCAGATCAGGAGCCTCCAATGCCAACAGAAGAGGAGAAGCTGGAGCAGGATAATGAGTTGCTGGTGAAAGGTGAAGATAACTCTCCACATGCTTCAGCAGCTGTGGTGACTGATGCAGAGGTGACGAAACAAGATGTGGAGAATGTAGTTGCTGAAGCTGAACAGAACACCCTGACAGGGAAGAAAGATTGTGGCCATGCTGAGTGCAAGGAAGCTGAAATTGATGATTGGCTTCTTCAGTTCGCAGATTTATTCCGGAACCAGGTTGGTGTTGATGCAGATGCACATCTGGACCTGCATGAACTGGGAATGGAGCTGTGCTCTGAGGCGCTTGAGGAAACGGTTACAAGTGAGGAGGCACAAGCCCTCTTTGAGATGGCTGCAGCTAAATTCCAAGAGGTTGCTGCTTTGGCCCTATTCAACTGGGGAAATGTGCACATGTGTGCCGCAAGGAAACGCATTCCCCTAGATGAATCGGCTCCAAAGAAAGTCATGTCAGCTCAGCTCTGCACAGCTTATGATTGGGTGCGAGATAGGTATGCTCTTGCAGGGAGCAAGTACGAGGAGGCTCTTAAAATCAAGCCGGACTTTTATGAAGGGCTACTTGCTTTAGGCCAGCAACATTTTGAGACTGCAAAGCTTCATTGGTCATTTGCACTAGCAGACAAGGTTGACCTGTCTGCTTGGGATTCTTCACAGACATTCAAGCTTTTTGACAGTGCTGAGCACAAGATGAGGGCTGCAACAGAAATGTGGGAGAAAGTAGAAGAGCAAAGAATGGCAGAATTAAAAGAACCATCTAGCGAGGCACTGAAGAAAAGGAAGAAGCAACATAATGCAGATGGTCAAGGGGAGTTGACTCCAGAGGAGGCAGCTGAGCAGGCAGCAGTAATGAGGCAGCAAATTCACCTGTTCTGGGGTAATATGCTTTTTGAGCGTTCTCAAGTGGAATTCAAACTTGATATCGCTGATTGGAAGAAGAATCTTGATGCGTCCATTGAAAGGTTTAAGTTGGCTGGAGCGTCAGAATCAGATATCTCTGCAGTCTTGAAGAACCATTTTTCCAACACAGTTTCTGAGTGTGAAGATAAGAAAATCATGACTTTAGATACAGGAATCTCCCAAATAAGTAACAATATTGAGGACAAGTGTATCCTTGAAAGCTAGGTTTTCATGGTTTTAAGTTGGATAACATCCATGCCCATATTCTTATCTGTTCTTGATAATATTTTCCTGATGTTGTTTTATGACCTCCTAATTAGGGATTACAGCACAATGAATTTTCCGTTACCTGCAGAACTGGTGCATACTCTGCTTGCTCCTTAATGTTATTTTCTCATTTGTTATTAATCTTTGAGAAAAAAAATACAGATCACACGTCGCTATGTTTTATAAGTGTCCACTCAATTGCCAATTATTATGACAACTACACATATTTTGACCTTTGAGACAGATATATTATCACGGATTTTACGAATTGACTAATACTAAGAGAAGTTGTTTCTTTGCCCAGTAGCCCCTGAAGAAGCTGGGGCTGACTAAGGCCATCCATCTTTTATGGTTCATTCATATGGTTCTGAACTCTTATATGATTATATGGTTGCAAAACTTTCTAACTCATTATATTTGCATAGAAAAGATACCTGATTTAAAAATAAAATCATGTTTACCTTGAAGCCAGTGACACATGGATCGAATTCAATCTTTAAGCTTGACAAAAAAATATTAACCCCTCACTTATTTTTTTTGAAGGTTGATCCAACTTAGAAACAACTTTCAACCCTTACACTGTCATTCCCTTGCAGCGCTCGACATCATCCATCACATCACACATGAGTTTTTTCTTTCTAAACCAAACCAATGTAAGCCTGCGAGCGAGCGCACATCAGCACCAATTTTCTGTTTTCGTCGAGCGTACATTAAAAATGTAAAATGAAGGCTCGGGTTGCCAATAATTTTAATTAATCCACACTTCTATAGTAGTTCCCATACATCAGATCAGTTTTAAATCAAGAACTTATTCACAATTGGAATGTCTTCTATAGTAGTTCCCATACATCAGGGCAATTTTAAATCATGAACTTATTCATAATTGGAACATCTCTCAGGATAAGTCGCAAAAACCTAGTAAAAGGAAAACAAAAGGATAGATTACATAACTCTACATGACTGATTAGCAAACACTAATCAAGTGTTTTACATGTACTTGTCAGAATTTGACATGTGCTCCTGCACCCGCTGCAAGATACATGACTCCTAATGTTCACTCAGCGGAGTGTATTCAAGATTCACGAGCTTTTGATTGCTGCAAGATACAATAGAAGTACATGACTACTAATTTTCAGTACATATAAGGTAGAAATCTACAGGATTGTATACAGGAAATAAAGGAAGCCTACGGGTAGCTATAGCTAGACAAATAAATTGAGCAAAGTTCAACCTACAGATCTGTAGTTGTATTCATTGAATTAATTAGCAGTTTTTTTTCTCAGACATGTATAAGAGGGAATGGCCATCTCTGAATTTTTATTGCCACCACTACTTGTTTTTCTATTCAGATTATTTGCTTGTGAATCAGGTTATATGCATATCTGTTCAGATTGCCATAGCATATGCTTCATATATTTTACTGCATTTTCTTGAACCTATCCAAATATCAGTTTTGCTCACCTAGCTGGCATGGTTATAATTCATGACAGCTTACTGTACATGTACAATACTGCATGCTTGTGTTTAGCTTACTGATCGCATAGCTCTTTTGAGAAAATCAGCAATTTTCCTCAACATTGAACAGTCACAACCAATAGTTTACTTGAGAAATTATCTAGAAAATAAATCTACTTTCACATTAAACAAATTAAATACCTCTCACATTCAATGATCAAGGGAAATCACTAGTGTATTCCTCAGGATCATTCATTGAAAATAATGATTAGCAGGTACATAAATATCAGTCTCAGGAACAATTAGCAAGAACATGAACCGATTTGTTAAGTCTGTTCATATCAGTCATCGATTACCTGAACCAAATCCACGGATTGATTTACCTGCATGTATAACCACATGTTACTGAAGTATGTTCATAGCAAAACTGAAACTGACTATTTTTTATCATCTTTTGAAAAGGGACATCTATATTCACATCAAAATTAGATCCCTTAAGTTGTAAACTTTGCAATAAAAAAATCCAATGTAATAAATGAATCAAGGTGCGCAGGGACATTATTTATCAGCATAGGTTGCAACAACATAATAATTGGGAGAGATTAATGTAAAGCTTGTTAATTCAGGCTAGCATTAAAATATTTTGCTTCTCCATGTTAAGTACAGTGGTTTGGTGAGAATCTCAGTTGATAATCTTCTGAGCGAGTAACCCAGTTGTTCATCTTGGAACAACCCTTGTTCCACCATATGCATACAACCTTCATTCAATCAGTTATGTAACATAGAATTTACTGAAGTAATCGATCTGATATTACATTATGAATTCAGTCACGAGATATGAATAAGAGTACGAGAGTAGGTAACAATAGGAATCGAGACAAACCTGATTTGAGCAATTCCTGCTGCAAGAAGGTGCCCTGAAGAAATTAACACCTAATTTGCATCTCTGAACGGAAAGGTTCTTCAATTAAACATGGGTTTCCGCAGCAAACTGAAATAACATCAGAGGGAACAGGTCCAAACCTGCAAGCCTGCATTTTATATTACATACTACCTCATATGAAGCCTTCATCACCTTCATCACCTTTGTCGATGCCTCCTGCTTGGGCTCTGCCAATCCGGAAGAGTAGCGGCAGTCGGCACGAAAGCGGGAGGTGGGAGCCCGGGGCAGCGACGGACGGGCCAACCGGCGATGCGCTCCTCTTCTCCCCACCTCGGCCCCAGGTCTGTCCTCTCTGGCGGTGCTTGGTTGGAGGCTGACCGCATAGCTTCTCGATCCCAACGGAGGAGCCGAGGATGGGGAGCAGCTCTTCGCTCTGATCTGGAGGAATGGTCGTGGTGATCTGGAGATGGCGAGGCAGCGCGACGGGAATATAGGGATGGGGGATTGCGCGGCTATATGGCCGCGGCCCGCAGGTGACGGGCGGCAGCGACGAATTGTGGACGGCATAGTAGTCGCTGGGGTGGGGGTTGGTGACCGCCGGTGGTCGGACGCGATGGTGACGCGATGGTGACGGGCTTCGGCGACAGACGGCGCGGGGCGGAGTGGCCGGCCGGGCGTGAGGGCGATGAGAAGATGCGGCAGGGAATCAGCGACAGGTGGTGTTGTGAGGGGCAATTTAACTATTTGCCACTTTTACGCTTGGCAGTTATCGAAATGCCCTTATTAGGTTCGCACTTAATAATTTACTAAAAGGAGGTGATTTCTTAACTATTTTCCACTTTTGCTTGTATGGCGTGCCACTGTGGCATGAAAAGCAACGTGGACCCCACCTATCAGCCCCTCTCCTCTCCTTCTCCCTCTCCGGCCTCCTTCTCCAACCATCACGGCCTCCTCCAGATCGGTGGTGGAAGCAGGGCAGCAACGACGTGGTGTCAAGAGCAGCATCGGAGGTGAACATGGAGAGGGAGGTGGCGTCTTCGTCAAGCATCCGGCCTCCTCTGTTAGGACCCGCTGATCTTGCGTCGTCGATGCCCGCCGACCCCGCGCCGGCCCTGCACCCATCGGCTCGCACGAGTCCCTGCGCCCGTCGGCTCCGTGACCGTCGGCCTCGCGCCCGTCGGCTCCGCGCCCGCCGGCGCTACTCCGCGGCACCTTCCCCGGCTCTTGGCGAACGCGCAGCGCCGAACGCAGTGTGCCGTTGCTGCCATGGATCGGACCCTTGTTTACCTCGTCGGAGGCCGGAGACTCGGAGAGGGAGGAGGAGGAGAGGGGAGGGGGTGACGGGTGGGGTCCACGTTGCTTTCCATGCGGGCACGCCACGGTGGCACGCCATGTGAGCAAAAGTGGCAAATAGTTAAGAAATCACCTCTCTCTAGTGGCAAATTATTAAACACGAACCTAAGAGGGTATTTGGATAATTGCCAAATCTAAAAGTAGCAAATAGTTAAATTCCCCGTTGTGGGGAGGAAGGAGGCAGAGCGCGGTGGGGAGGGGTGAGTCGATCCACAACCGAGGGGATGCACAAGGAAATGTAGGCCGTTGTATCTCACGATCGTACGGTTGGTATTACACGTGGCTGTCAGGGTTGGAGTCACCTCCACCACTATGGACTTTTTAAGTAGTAGAGAGTAGAGATTTATCTTGTTTAGGTTAACTAACATCTGTTGCATATATGCTTTCACATTATAAGATGTTTTGCCTATTTATCCCTAGTCTAGATTAACTACCATCCAATTTAATTTGGACACATATACGAAGGACATATATGGATCCAAGCATGAATTTATTTAAAACCTACAACAATTTATACTGTGACGTTACTTAGAAATCTTAAAAGACATTTTTGCTCCCAGTCAAATCAAGTACGGAATATCAAAGTGTTCCACATGGACCACATCAGTAAGTTCCAGCTTGGACAGCATTGACTTCAAGGGCGTGTTTTAGCTAAATGGATTAGGAATAGTTTCTACCTTAGTCATCAATTTTTTTCGTCCTCCAGTCATTTTCATTCCTCAGCCCACCTCTCATAACCCATTATCCAAACACCCCAAAAAGTGTAGAGAGATTAATTCTTTTTTTTAACATAATCTCTGTTTGGATGTTTCTATACTATAGAGATTAATTTGATCTCTTCTCAAGAGATTTAGTATCAATTCCAAATTCCTTCTATTGTAGTCTTAAAACTGTTAGAAATTTTGTTTACTTGTTATGGTTAAAATATAAATAATTTAAGGTTAAGATTTTACACGTAGGTCTAATACTATTGAAAGTTTATTGAAAGTTTATGTACATTTTTTTTCTAAATTTATCTGTGATATTTGTTGTTTGGTGGGCACAAAGTGTATCTTGTGTGTACAGGATATGTTCCCTTTAACCTCACAACTTTCCATCCCAATGCTTTGGACAAACAAAGTGCTTCGAATGGTTTTAGACTTTTTAGTCAATTCATGTGAGATGACTACTACACTTTTTTAAAAAAAGAACTCATAAAGTTTTATTAATAAAGACAGGGTTCAGGGGAATAAATTCTAGTACATCACCAACAGATAATCTAATTGAGAATAGGAAACATACTTACTAAGGAAACCGAGCAGCAAGAGAGGAGCAAATCGACAGGGTACCGCAACATTGTCGCGACGACTGCATCCTTGAGCCTCTTTTTACGTGCACACCGCTTGACAAACCGATAATCCATTTCAGCTGCCTCCACGGGAATGACACAAGTTAGAGGATTGCTATTGAGTCGTGGATTTTGAGGTAAGCTTCATCAGACTCAACAAATGATTTCCACGAAGCTCGCCATTGAATCTAATGAGCTAGGACTGCAATCATGCCAACCAGGGATGAACAAGCGATCTTAGCCCAACCCGAACGACAAGCCCTGCATCGTTACTGCTGCCAAGAAACCAAAAGAAAGACGGTTCCATAACCCGGTCAACCAAAATCACATGAGAATTCGGATGGTGGCGCAGGAACTGCTTTCTTGTAGGATCAGCAAAGGAGGTTGTGGAAGAGGTGGCCTTCTCATTAACCGCACACAAGCTAGCAAAGGATGTAGCAGCTGGAGACTGAGCCATTACCATCGTGACTAGACACCAGCATCGCCCTGAGCACCGAAAGTGAGATGGAGCCCCTTGCCGGCACATAATTGTGGAAGACCGCTGCTACATCAGGACGTCGTCGCTTCTGCGGGGGAGGCAAATGCATAAGCGAAAGAAGCCATTGCCGCCGCATCAAGATGCCGTCCCTGCTGAGACTGCCAACAAGCAGCCTGAGTCTTTTGTGCCGATAGAACACAATGATCAAATGCCTGAGGAAAATCTTGAGGAGGATAACATTATAGCTACTCGAAAGAGTAAGAGACAAATGACTGCAAAGTCTTTTGGTGATGACTATATCGTATACCTTGTGAATGAAACTTCAAGAACTATAGAAGAGGCATATTCATCTCCTGACGCTGACTATTGGATGGAAGCGGTACACAACAAGATGGACTTTATTATGCCTAATGTACTTGGGAAATCGTCGAGCATCCACAGGTGCAAACCTGTAGGATGCAAGTGGGTTTTCAAGAAAAGGTTTACGCCTGATGGTAGAGTTGAAAAGTACAAGGCAAGGCTTGTGGCCAAGGGTTATATCCAAAAGGAAGGCGATGATTTTTTCGACACTTATTCACTAGTTGTTTACTTGACCACGATTCGAGTACTACTTGCTCTGGTAGCCTCTCATGGTCTTCTCATTCATGAGATGGACGTTAAGACAATTTTCCTTAATGGAGAGTTGGAGGAGGAGATTTATATGGATCAACCAGACGGGTATGTACTGGAAGGTAAAGAGAGAATGATGTGTAAACTATTGAAGTCCTCGTATGACCTTAACCAAGAACCTAAGCAGTGGCATGAGAAGTTTCACAGAACACTGACATCTGTTGGCTTTGTTGTGAATGAAGCTAACAAATGCATGTACTGTCACTATGGTAGGGGAGAGGGAGTGATCCTGTGTTTATATGTCGATGACATATTGATCTTTGGGCCTCAATGTAATTGAGGAGGTCAAGGACTTTTCTGTCCAAAAGTTTTGAAATGAAAGATTTGGGGGTGGTTGATGTTATTCTTAACATTAAGCTACTAACAGATGATGGTGGGGTTACACTCGTGTAATCCCACTATATGGACAATGTCTTAAGTCGCTTTGGTTGCAGTGATTGCAAGCCAGCTCCTACTCCCTATGATCCCAATGTGTTATTAAGGCAAAACAAGCTATTAGGTAACTGGGAGGAGAGACCCTTAACTGGGCTCATTTGTTTGATGTACTTCTATCTTAATCTATATGGCAGGTTAGTTCATACATTAATGTGATGCAAGTGGCTTTTCTTAAAGCAGAAATGTTGGCCTACAGACATCTTGGAAGGAACACACCTATATGAGTTCGACTGCTAGTAATAATCTATGAGATTTGCGTGATCTCTAGATACTAAAAAAAAGGCCTGGATGTCTTATACGCTCCAAACAGAGGGAATGCTAACGACAGCCTAGTATCAGTTAAGGAATTGAGTAAAGCCTAATCTCATGCCCTCGTCGCATCGCGATCAAGGAGCGCCGAAGCGGACAACGGAGAGAAAGCACTAGCCGTGGGGGCACACTGCCACAGGCATGCCTAGAGGCTAAGGGTAGGGGTGGTAATGGGCCCTCTCTACTCTAGGTCCTAGGTAGTTGCACAACTGGTCTAGATCCAGAGTTTGTTTTGATTGTACAGTAAGATAGAGGGTGTGGTCTTAGAATATGTGGCACATAGGGGGTGTTTGATTGCTAGCCACAATTTTACCACGTCTAATATTAGGCAAATTTGACCATAGTGACAACTGTTTGGTTGGTAGCCACTACCATGACAAGATTCTCATTCAAAAATTGAGGGGTTGTTTGGTTCACTCCCAAACATTGCCAAACCTCCATGCCAAACATAGCCAAATTTGTGGCTTATAAATTGATGGCCACACCTTAGGCAACTTTTGGCTAAAAGATGGGTGTATGACATGTGGGCCTTTGAATTGAAAAACTTTGGCATGCCACAACTTTGGAAGTGAAACAAACAAGTATCCTAGAAAGTGTGGCAAAGTTTGGCAAAGTGAGGGAGTGAGTCCCACACATCAATGTCTCAAAAAAGTGTGACAAGATTTCCTTAGGCTTGCTAAGGTGTGACCAAGAATTTGATCGCCTCAACTTACGCAAGTGTGGCAAAATTTGTTGGCAAATAGTGACGAAATGGCTGAAACCAAATACATTCATACTCTCTCCTCTAAGGCTCCTATAGCAGTGTCTCACACTATGAGTGCCCTAAGAGAGCCTTGGACTTATATGACATCTAGGAATACTTATTCAAGGAGTATCATGCACTGTGATTAATGACCTAAATATAGCTAGTAGACTTGGGCCATGGCCAACGCTGCTAGCTGGCGTGTGGTCTCACCCCGCCCGTGGCGAATATTTGTGCTAGTAGGAGAGAGTCGCACCACTGCATGAAGACATGAACCCCACCAGAGGCATGCATGGTTTCGATAGAGCCACGGCTCTAGCACGTGAGGAACCGGTAAGGAAACACATTAGGAAAGGTCTTGCCCCGTGTCGTTGCCGCCACGAACGGGGTGAGGTTGTCACCACTGCACATATCCTATGAGTTCAAGGCTGGCGACGAAGATGGTGAGGGGGTAAGCATGGGAGACGAAGGGCTTACCTGAGAAGCTCCACAGGTCACCGACGACTTGATCTGTGCCGCCAACAACTATTCCGCCGCTCTGACCACTGACGTGATCAAATCTACTGCTACCGCCCTGATCTGCACTTCCACCACCCTGATCTCTGCCCCCTGCTGCCCCAATCTGCGTTGCTCCGCCTAGATGTGGTTGTGAGGGCCTGAATGGCCGAGCTCAAGACTGACCTGGGAAGGGGGGATGGAAGCTCAAGTTCATCTCCTTCGGGCACCGCCAAGGAGAGAGAGGGAAGATGCAACGTTGATGCGGAAGGGGAGAAGTAGTGAGGAGTGACGGAGAAGAAGATGAAGAGGGAACATGTGGATGTTTGATTTGTTTATAAATTTTAAGGCAAATACCGTAAAATATTGAATAGAAAAAAATCTAAGAATTTAAATACAAAATATAACCGACTGAATTAGGTTGAAAAAAAACACGTGGATGTGGCTTAGCTTACCCCTGTAAAGGGTGTCACCAGTGCAAAATCTCATCCTCCCCCTCACCTCCTTTCTCTTATGACTATAGCTTTGGACTGCAAAAAGAGAAAAAAAACCCTCTCGCTTTTATGCTTACGCTTTTCAAACGGCTAAATATTATAAAAAAACTGTAGAAAAATATTTTAAGATATCATATATTAATTTAAAAAAACTTAATAATCAGTAAATCATGTAGTCTTCTCAAAAGGCATCCGCGTTCTATCATACCATAGACATAGGGCCTGTTTAAGCAATTTTAAGAAACCACTAGCTTCTAAAAATATAGAAAAAAGGTTTTCAGCTTATGGTTATAGTTTATTTTCTGAACTGTTCGAAGGAGTTTCTGAAATTCTAGGAGACTGAGAGAAGCTCCACAGGGCGAAATTCACTCACGGAACTGCGACAGCTCTGGACTGTAAGGAAGATTCATCGAATATGCACTGCACCTGGAGCTTCTTTCTTCTTTTCTTCCGGCCTCTCTTGTCTCTTCAACTCTTTGCGTCTTGTCGGCACCGCACGGCGCACGCCCTATTCCTCCCTCCTTCCGGCGCCAACCCAAGTACCCAACCCAACCCAAGCGGAGGGGACTCCACTTCATCCACAGCCACATCCACATCCACCGAGCAGGAATCCAATCCGAATCCACCATCAGCTCTCCTATCACATTCCCTGCATCCGTCTTCGAGCGAGCTATGCGGCAGGAGGCCACCTGCAGCCTTGTGCTGACCCAGGACGCCCAACACCGGAAGAACCAGCCACCGCTGGCTGAGGAGGACGACGATAGGGATCATACCGACGATGCCATGCCGCCGCCCTGCTCGATCTTGCTCCGCCAGGAGGAGGGCGAGGCGACGGCGGCGGCGGCGGGGGAGGGGCTGCTGGTGCCGCCGCTCAACTTCGCCATGGTGGATCATGGCGTATACCGCTCCGGCTTCCCCGACATCTCCAACCTGCCGTTCGTCGAGTCCCTTCGCCTCCGCTCCGTCCTGTGAGTGCCCGTCCACCTGCTCTTGCCTTGTCCATCGAGATGGCGTTGTCACCTCCATGGTTTCTTGTGTCCCTCCACTCAGGTGCCTCTGCCCGGAGCCGTACCCGGAGGCGAACCAGGAGTTCCTCCGCGCCCACGGGATCAGGCTGTTCCAGTTCGGAATCGACGGTTCCAAGGTGAACAACTTTGAATTGAACCTGCTATCTTCTCGGTTCTGAATTAAAATTTGTTCATCTCAGTCTCAGCTATATATATGATTCAAATTGTTCAAAAGTGGCTCATATATTTGTTTGTGAAACTCTATGAGAAATATATGAACTCCTAGATTCGATTCATCAACAGCTAGTTTATTTGTAACTGAGCTAATTAATTAATTAATTAGATCTCCTTTCGTTGTTAGTACTCGTGATTAGTCACGGATTCCTTGTTTTAATATTTGTCAAAATCGCAGTGTGTGCGGCTTCATGTTGTCAGTGCTTTCATACTCTCGAATCTTCTTCTTAGTACTTTTGTACCATGTACTAAGCCATCCGTGACATTATTAAAAATAGATAGATGCCTTCTCCAAGTTGAGCTTCTGCATTCTCCACTCCGTGCTTTTTGCTGAAAGCATCTCTCCACAAAAATTGTCCTATAATTTGATTCTGCTAGACCACACTTTACTAAGCCATAGTAGATTTGGCAACTAAGACTGCAGTGCCAACTTCAGAAATTTGATGATAAACTCAAATCTTAAATGCGCTGATGCAAAGCACAGGTAAAATAGACAGTGATTGCTGCTGCTATCAAAAGCCCAGATTCGCTATCCTCCACCAACCGGGACCGCGGGATACTATTATGGTGGTATCTCGACGTTTGGACCAGGTGGCACAGGAGTTTTTTACCTAGGAGCATGGGTGGCGGTCTAGTCTACGGATTGATAGCCACTAAGATATACGGCGGTATCTCGACAGTTGGACCAGGTGGCACAGGAGTTTTTTACCCAGGAGCATGGGTGGCGGTCTAGCCTACGGATTGATAGCCACTAAGATATATGTTTCTGTCAAACTTTTGTGCTTGGGAGATGTTCTAGTTGTTTCTTTCTTCTTTTTTGGCTGTGTGCATTTTATGCAGAGGCCGGGGGTGACTCAGTTTGATTGTATCATCTTGATGTAATTAACTGAGTCTAAATAAAGCTTCCATTATCTAAAAAAAAGCCCAGATTCAGTAGAACACATCAGATAGCAATCTTTTGCAGTGTAAAATCTACTTGCGTAAATGTAGCAGGTGCCCTGTACCTGTTAGCAAAATGAAGGTTGGATTTGGGGGGAATTTATTAGATAATATGCTGTATTTATTTTGTGCTTGCACCTCTTCTAAGGCCTGTACTCTTTCTACCTGATATGTATTAGAGAAAATCCCTTATATGTATTACTGTTTTAGTGTGACATAAATAATAAACTCTATTTGAAAGCCTGTGATGATTGAGCTTCCATAGTGGTCTTTTGTACTGGGGCTCGGTAAATATTTATGTTTTGTAATCATTTCATAACCTAGGGTTTTTCAGGTTGCTAAATTCAGATGTGATGCACAGTAGCTTGTATATAAAGATATCTTTAGCATCCACTCATGGATATTTCAAGTGGTCCATTATGTTCTTTTGGTTTCTGGTTCAATTATCTGGTGCATACACTACCTCAGGTAGATGATATGATGTGTCAGTTAACTAGTGAAAGAAAATTGAGTAAGCAAGTACTTCACAAAGATTTTCATTTTGTTGGATTCATGTTTGTTAGATCTTTTCTGTCAACGTGTATAATCAAACTAGAACTCTTTCAGGCATTCTAATTTGGATCTAGTCTTTGTTCACAGGCAGAGACGCTTCTTTATCTAGTCACTTTTATTTTGGAAAAGTTGTTTAGTAGCATCAGTAAAAGACATCGGATACTTTTCTAAATAATGTCGCAATTGTCTTAACTGCAATACGTCGTCCTAATGATGTGAAGTGCTAGATGACATTATTGTCGCGTTTTTAGTGCAAAACTAACAGTGCATAATAATCAGGGGCAAATCCACATGGAACTAGGAGGATGCAAGGGCACATAGTACGGTTTTATTTCTTATGTTAGAATATCTTTTATATGCGTGCACCTCCATAGGCCAACCTCAACAGCCCCCAAACACTTTGTTAAATTGTATTGTGGTCCTTGCTCATATTGCCACTGATAGTACTTAGGTAGGATACCTTGTTTCAAACGTCCAAATAGCCCCTTGCTTGGATAGATAATATGGTCTAAAAGAAGTATGATTAAGGCATCAGAAGAGGATATAGCTTAATATACTAGAGAAAAAAGAAAGTTTGACTCCATAGTTCTTTCATTTTGGCCCCAAAAGCAAAAGAAGAGCGAGAGCAAACTATGTGGGCACAGGTCCACATGTCAGTGACTTCTCCAGCATGGGCAGTACTGCAGACAATCCCCATTGGTCTTTTTCCCCTTCTACTGGCATACTTTAGCTTGTTCAGGATCAAGTTTTTATGTTTCAGTCCAGTATGATTGCAACATTATAGGAAACATATAATCCCCTACGACAAATAGTTGTTGATTGGTTACAACCTTTATAGTTCTTTCGTTTTTGCTTTTGCCTTTTATGTACATATCTCTGTAAGACTGTTTGGTTCTCTTTGGTTATAAAAATCACACTGCTAGGTATCCCCTAAAAAAAACATTATAGGAAACATTGTTCTTTTCTGGAACAAATCGGAGATAATTGTAGACTTCAACACAAATACACAGGATATAAATGCATTATAGGAAACATTGTTCTTTTCTGGAACAAATGGGAAATAATTCCAGACTTCAACACAAATACATAACATATAAATTGATGTCATATTGAAACTACCAATACCTTAGAAGCTTCATCTGATTTGGTCAATGTCATTTTTCGCCGTTAAAAGGGTTTTTAGTCATTTCTTTCTCTATTTGTTGATAGGAATTGTCAGAAACTTTGTGTCAGTTATGTTGCTGTGATCCTTGGGCGCATTGTTTGTTGTGTGATTGTGCATCTCCAGTATTTTTTTTCCTTCAATACTCAGTGAGCTACACATTTTGTTAAATCATAAGTAAGTTATAACAACCTAGAAGTTTTTCAGTTCAAAAGGAACAAACAATGTGGACACATTTTTATCTTATAATTAAAAATAAGTTGCCAAAGTATGGCACTTCCTATATTGCATAGTGGTTTGAGCTAAAATTCGATCTTGTAATTTTGTGATGTGGATTAAATCCAGAGGTCTCATACTCAGCATGTGCCAAACAAAAAGGAAAATTGGTTCTTCTCTCTGGATTATATTGTTAATTTGGCTCTTTTATGATACACGGAAATTTTGGAATAGACACCTTTTACTTGATGAATTGGGTTGGAAAACTGAAGTAAAATCCAGCTTCTGAAAATTTTATTTTATGTTCCATTACTGGCTGGCAAGAACCGATTTTAGCTGGTGGCATGTATTGAAGCTCAATGATTTTAGCTTGAGGACTCAAGCCATGTGTTTCAGTATTTTTTTTTGGACAAATTGAGAAAATGTCTGTAGCAGTAAATGGTGGTCTTAAGTAACTTAGTATTGTTTGAGCAGTATTGGATAACCAATTCAGCCTTCAACTACGTTTCCGTTGTTTACAAGCTAATCATTTTTATCCAAGTATAAAGTGTAGTATGCTTGTATGCTAATTTTCTTATCTTCTTTTTTTTGCGGGAAATAGCAGGACAATCTCCTGCATTGCTATATATTTTTCATATGTCATATCGCAGAACTCTGTTGCTTCCTTGTTCCTGCGACCTGAGATGCTTCTTCATAAATTGTCATTTTCATGTTCAGGAACTAGGTTTTGGTACTGAAAATAGATGTTGCTTGCAGGAGCCCTTTGTGAACATACCTGAAGATAGAATCCGTGAGGCTCTAAAAGTTGTGCTAGGTATTTAAAAATGACCTAAGCTACTAATTTGTCGCATTGTTTTTCCCCCCTGATTAGATATCAAATTCTTTTTGTAGATGTGGCAAATCACCCGGTGCTTATTCACTGCAAGCGTGGAAAGGTAAAATAGCTTGATTACAATTCGTTACGGTTGCCTTCCCATAATTCCAATAAGTTTTGAGTCAAAATTGTGAACAAAAGAAATCTGTGCAGCATCGAACTGGCTGTGTGGTTGGTTGCTTGAGGAAATTGCAACGCTGGTGCCTAACTTCAATATTTGATGAATATCAGCGCTTTGCTGCTGCCAAAGCAAGAGTATCTGACCTAAGGTTTATGGAACTATTTGATATCTCTAGTTTAAAGCATTTACCAGCATCATTCTCATGTTGAGAAAGCAGCACACCCAGAGCAGCCTGTGTGCCAAGATTGGCAATTGTCTCTCGGTGACTCTAGAGACCTGTTTATCATAGTAACAAGACTACCTTGGTAAGAAAACTATCAGTGATACCTTTTAATTGTGTTTTCATCATTATACTACTTCCCAGTACATGTAGTCGCAAGTTTAACCTTATCATTTTTGGAGAATAGGTCCCGAGTTGTAGTTGATGTTAAAGGGCATAGAAACCGGATCGGTTGCCAATGCAGTTCACTGTATTAGTTCAGTGTTTTTCAAGCGAATAAGAGGGATGCATCGGGAGCTATACCATTGTTGTTTCTGCGTTAGCAGTACCAGTATGTATTTTTTTGGCAGTGCATAATTTTTTATATGTTGTAATTATGCTCAATCTGTATATCGAATAGAATCTCAAATTGCAAGGAAAAACCATCATGGCCCTTCAAGCCCTTGACTGAATGTGTGTAATTGTTCAGTGTTTTAAAGAAGATTAAGTTCAGTGTGTTGTCTACACTAGATTTATCCTGGTGCTAATGGAATGCCACATGATGACATGATCTACGATTTAATGGAATGCTAAGTTGCCAACAATTAGGCGAGCTACTTTTTAACCATCAATGTGATGACTCGTGAAAAGAAAAAAGAACATTGCTCCCATAGAATAAGTCTAATGTCCTTCCTCCCGTTTTAAACTTTTCAAACTCAACGAGACATTACTTTGGCTAGATGATTACATAGACTCTAAAACGCTACTCCCTCAATTTCAAAACAATAGGACATGTTTTGTTTTGTTCGGATTGACCAACAATTACTCTATTAGAATATAATATTTTTAAGTAAATTAATGTTATTAGATTCATCTTCAAAAATATTTCTGTATGAATAATTTCGTATGATTATACTTGTGTCACATAAATATACTCCACCAGCATGTTCGTTGTGAACTTTGTTCCTCTTTCTTTTTTTTCTTTTTCTGGATCCATGTGATTCTGCATTCCCGGGTGTCCCAAACACAATAGAGATAGCAGCTTAAGCATAAAATGAACACTGGTAATGTGAGAATCTCGTACGAGAAACATTTCCTTCATTTCAAATCAACACACAAACACGCAGCAACTTCACAAGTCAGTTACACGGGAGAAGGGAGAGGCAAAGAAAAGAGAAGGAAAATAGTCAAAAAGAAAATAGAAGCTCAAGGATACTTCCTAAAATGCTGCATCCAATGCTCTTCTATTTTGTCAATATACTACAAATACCAGCTACTGCCCACCTTTAGGCCGCAGAGAAACAGAGAACTCCTCGCTCTCTTGCTCGGTGGTCTTGTATGATGACGACTCCTAATTTAAATACTTGAGGGTTCTTCTATAATTATAAGCACTCCACATTGGGCTTTCTTCAACTGCAAATTGAAAAAAAAAAAGACGGGATCATAAGAATTAGTTCGCTCAAGTGAACTACAAAAACGCTAGGAATGTAATGAAAAAACAATGCAAATTATACATGTTATCAGCAACAGCATCGAATCTGTACACTATGCTAGAGCTTAACAGACTCAACTACTCAGTCAACTGCAATGCAGGAATTCCCGCTGAAAAAAAACTGCAACGCAGGAATAATGAGAATGGCATGGTAGGCTGGAACCAGTACTTCAGTAAATGGCATGGTAGGCTGGAACCAGTACTTCAGTAACTTCTGACCATAATACTACTAGTAATTTGTAGAAGATTCATGGGCCGGAAGAAAACATGATCTTGTCTTTCTTTGTAGAGTTCTGTTTGCAGACTAAATGAAAATGATTCAGCAAGTGAATGGGAATTCTAGTAAAGCTTAGTGGAGGAAGCAATTGGAACCAAAGACAGGTAGAAATCGGGTCAACTGAACTGATGCATCCTGTTGTACCAATAAAAAGTTACAATTTTGCCCATAAAAAGTCTGAATCCAGAGTATACTCTAACAAATTGCTAAGTTTTCTCTATGCTTATTTTAAACAGGTTGTTTTGTATGCTTGAGAGCATGTGATATACCACCATATATCAGAATCCAATTGAATAGACATCAGCATTTGAAATGAGCAACATGGTACAGTTCATAAATTTGCATGCTATAGATATGTAATAATATTATAAGTACGTCTCATTAATAGTGAACTACTGGATGGAGGCTACGATGACTAAAAATCAATAGGCAAACGTATATAGATAAGTTATTTGTAGGATATGTCTTCTGTGGACAGACTGGGAAAGGCTAAGATGCAAGGCACAAATACGCTGTACAAAACTTTTAGCGCATCGGCAAATGCAGGGAATGCTTCAGCTTTCTACATTATCTATATGTATTATAGGAACTTACATACAATTCACATGCTAGGTTAAATTACATTAGCAAAGTTCAACAATACCATATGCATTAAATTTTTAATGTTACACGATTGACATACTTTAACTAGATTCTGATGTGAGCAATAAAAAAAAGAATAAAAGAGATTTGTATTAGTCCCTGTGACTACATTGAAGGAAAAGCAATCATGTTGAGTGCAAAACCAAATATATTCTTGATGAGTCCTTGTACATTTTCTAATTTATTATTTTTCACTCTCTCCTTCTCACTAATCTCCTTCCTGGTTTCTTCAATGCAGTATTTGCTTTGCCTTCTTGATCATTTCTACTGTCTTAAGGCTAAGGCATACGAAAGACATACAAATCCTCCACTCCAGATGCTACATGGCACACTGTCCTGCTATGGCTATAAGCATTAATTGGCCCGATCCCTCAATGGCCAGCCATATCATTCACCTACCCAACCCACCAATCACACGAATTGCCACCACAGACCAGTTTATGACATGATATTTCTCAGCAAGCATTTGCATTTTGAAAGTACAAAAAAAGAAATAGCTACAAAGTACATAACAGCACACCACTATCGAAAAGATACATCTAATCATTGTGGCTCAATCCTCCCATAACCTGTCCATGTTATTCCTACCAAACCTGGACAATCATACAGCAAAGGAATGACAGAAAACAGACTACAACAGGATAACCTCTATGCTATAATATTTTTGCAAGATTTAAACAACTAAAACAGTCACTAAGTCCTATCTTGGAACATGGCAATATGCGTAGTTCCAGTATGGAAAAAAAAATTGTATGTGAAATTCATCCTTCTTAAAGAGGGAGTAAAATTTCTGGCCTTGGGAGCAAAATTGGTAGTAGTTAGTAAAGTTCACAACCATACAATATAATCATGATCAAAAGGAGAGATGTAGAAAGTTCTATATTTACCCCAACATGGCAGACTGACTAGTTGTTCCATCCTCTAGAGAGTAAGCTCTTGAGTCGATTGCCAGAAATCCTCTGCAAAGCCTTCTTTGCACCAGGCACCTCAGCCTCAGCCAACTTCTGTAAATGCTGGCAAATGCCAGAATCCGCAAGCCGCCTCCGTGTCCCATTCCCACCACCCAAGGCTAGAGCTAGAACAACTGAGACTGGATACTTTTTATCAATCTCTTCATTCCTCGGATCAAGCATGTGCAATAACCTAGTCACACTCTTCTCATCCCTGACCAATTCCTTCCGGTTAAACTTCAAGGTCATCAAAGCAAGCAAGGCACGGCCAGCTGACTCCTGTACAGTAGCTGGCTTAGCTGTCTCCATCATCTTAACCAGCATGCAAATGCACGGTGCCATGCACCGCTTGGTGTCGTCGCTCACGCCAGGTGCAAGTTCAGCAACCATATCAGCGGCCATCTGCTGCAGCAAGATGCTACCACCACGGCACATGAGGTCTGTAAGTTGCGCGAAGAAGAGCGGCGATGAGCAGAGAGTTCTAGCAGCAGCAGGGACCACTGCGAGTGCGTGGATAGCGCGTAAGACAGTGTCATGGAGATCTAGGCCAGAAGCAGTGTGCAGCGCCTGCAGTAGTGGCAGCAATGCACCTGCTTGGACAATCTGGTATTGTATCTCATGGTCTCCCAAGGATGCTAGAGACCATATGCAGAGAGCAGAACCCTTCTGTGCGTCAATAGTGCCGCTTGCAAGCAGATCAACAAGAATTGGCAGTCCACCCTCTTCAACCAGTGCTGAGCGCACATCCTCGATGGAAGCCACATTCTTGAGCGCCGCTACAGCGAGAGCCTGTACCACAGGGGACCCGGAGCCAGGTCGGCACGCATTAATCAAGATGGGTACCCCTCCGTATGCCGCAACAGCCCACGCGCTGCCGACGTCCGCGGTGATGGCTTCAATGGCCGCCACGGCGCGTTCCCGCGTGGCTGGCGCTGAGCCGGAGTCGAGCACGCGAAGGAGCGGGCCAAGGCCGCCCTCGTCGAACACAACCTTCCGCGAAGCCACGCAGGCCGTGGCGAGGTGGGCCACGGTAGCCGCCGCACGGTCCCGTAGCGCGGAGTGGGACGACGCGTCGAGCAGGCGGAGCAGCGCGGCGACATCCCCGTCGGTGGCAACGATGTGCGCGGACTCCGCGGCGATGTCGTTGGCAAGCAAGTCCAGTAGCGAGGCGAGCGCCTTGAGCTTGAGATCGAGCCCCCCGATCTGGAGCCTCGCGAAGGCGTCCCGGATGAAGAGAGACTTGTCCGCCCGGGACGCGGCTGGCGCGGGCACCTGCAGCACAATGGCGTTGGGGGACGAAGCCGACGGATCGACGTAGAGGATCCCCGAGCGAAGGAGCAGCGAGAGGTCGTGGAGGAGCAGAGAGAGCGAGGAGGCAGCGATGTCGAGGTCGCTCTGGAGGCGGAGGCGGCCGCCAGGGAGTGACGGGTCCTGGCAGCGCGCGGACAGCGCTTGCAGGGAGCGGAGCGCCGGGAGGAGCGAGGCCACCAGGTCGGCGAAGAGAGGGTGGGAGACGGCCGAGTCCGGTGCTGCGGCGAGAGAGGTCTGGAGCGCGAGCAGCGTGCCGTGGACCGCGCGCCACCGGGCGTGGAGCGCCTTCACGGACTCCGCAGCCAAGAGCAGCGCCGGGAGCAGAGCCTGCAAGATCTGGCCGAGCGCATCCGCGGCAGCCGGTGGGGGCGGGGAATGCGGCAGCGGCGGCGGCATGGGCGGCGGCGAGTGGCGTGAGGGGAGGAGGGGAGGGGAAAGCGAGGGAAAGAGCAGCGGGGGATCGGCGGCGGCGGCAGCGCATCACATGGGAGGGGATCAGTGGGGCCGTGGGGTGGACAACGGACGGACACGATTTGCTTCCGCGGGAAGGAAAGCTGTAAAGCGGATGGAGGACTGGAGGAGGTGGCCGGCGTGGCCTGTCACAGTGGCACTGGCAGCAACTGGGACGCGTTTGGCCAGCCTCAACGCGTACTGTGGGGCCGTTACGTTTGGGTTGAAAAAACTCAAACAGCCTTGCTATTTGGATTGCTAAGCTATTTGAATGGCCAAATAGACTCTCTGGATGATCAAATGTGGCCAGCCTCCTCCACTGGCCAAACGGTGGGCCTCACTATGGGTCCCACTTTCTATCTCTTTCTCCCTCTCCCCTCTTCTAGTCTTCTCTATCTGTTGACGGTGAAATTTGGTAAGCCCAAAGTCATCATCGGCTTAGAGTCACTATCGGCTACGGCATCTCAAAATCAGCCTATGAGAGTTATCAAGTCGCCAATAGTCGGATTCCTGCTATATTCGGTTAAGAAAATCAATCTACTAAAGGAAGCTTATCCATAAACGACAGAGTTCAAAAAGAATGCGGCATGGCAAGTTATCTATTAATTAGGAATATTTTGTTAGTTTTTTTTTATCTTTAGGAAAGTGTGTTTAGTGTCCTATAAGGACTTTATCTTTTCCTTTTATCTTTAGAAAAGTTTCTTTCTTGTCCAACAAGAACTTGTATCAACCCATGGGTATAAATATGTACACCCAAGGTCTATGTAATCTATCTTCACGATCAATACAATTTGGCGCATCGCCACCCTTTTTACTTCTACTTTTGTTTTTTACGTTCCGGCGGAACTTGGCACCCGACGCGGGGCTGCATCGTCTTCGATCTCCGGCGAAGGGATAAGTCCAATGTTCCGCCGGTCCAGGCAATTGTATCGTCTACGTCGGCGTCGTTCAAGGCTACATCAGTACATTCGACCTCTTGGATTGCTCTGGTTTGGATGATATATTTGCCTATTTATCATATGTCTCTGTTAATCTAGTCCTAGCATCTCAATTTAGCTCTATCGGCTGTCTCTCGCTTTAGGGTTTCTACCGGTATCGGCTAAATCGTCTTGCTATATTATATTAGCCTAGGCATCTACCACCCTAAAAATCAATCAACAGCTTGATTGTCTAGATATTGTGTTTCTTTTCATACTTAGTGCTGCATCAGTTAAGTTTGATCTACTAAGTCGTGCTTAGAACCATAATCTCTAGCGTGCTTTTGACTGCCAATAAGGGTTTCATCGGGGTTTCAGCCGATGAGTTATCTATGCGTTGCATCGGCTTACAAGGATTGTATACATATTGGAATTAGCCGATCGCAACATAGATTTTACTGTTTATCTAATCTTGTGGATTTAATGATATTGGACCTCCAGCCGATGTATGCTTTAACCTTCGGATCAATACTTGTTCTACTATATCATATTGTTAGCCGGTTGGTTTCTACTGGATTATATTGTTATTTTATTACATCATCATCAGCCGATTGCCGATGACAACAAAGGTTTTACTGTTTAATTTAATCTTGTGGATTTTATGACATCGGACCACCAGCCGATGTATGCTTTAACCTTCGGATCAGTGCTTATTATATCTTGTTTCTAGCCGATTGGTTTCTACTCGACTATATTGTTATTACATCATCAATAGCCGATTGCCTTTATATCATTATCTACATTGGATATATAGCCGATTGCTTAAACCCTATCGCTATCGGCTGGTATCAGCATCGGCTATTATCGGTTATCAGCTGGAACTACTCCATTGGCTTGTCAGCCGATTGGCTATTTGATCTACTATTTGCATATATTGTCAGTTGCAGGATCAAACTAATTGGCACGCCTGCATCTCATCAAGATTTGGACCTACACAGGAGCTAAGCAGATCTCCCAGGACGGTGTGTTCGATTTTTTCATCAACACAGATTGGCACGCCTGGTAGGACCACGAATTTTATATCCACATGTCTGAAGAAGAAGTCAATGCTAAGATCATGGTCACAGTGGAGAATTTAACTGAGGAACAACAATATTGGCTTGGGGGGCAAGCGCATCAGCTTCAGCATGGTGAAGCACATCAGTATCAGCTCATGAAAGCCAATTACAAGATAGAGAAAGAAGATAATTTTGAAGCATGAGTTCTCATATTCCAAAACTGGGGGGGCATGTGTTGACAGTAAAATTTGGTAAGCCCAAAGTCATCATCGGCTTAGAGTCACTATCGGCTACGGCATCTCGGAATCAGCCGATGGGAGTTATCAAGTCGCCAATAGTCGGATTCCTGCTATATTCGGTTAACGAAATCAATCTACTAAAGGAAGCTTATCCATTTTCTCGATTACAAGATAGAGAAAGAAGATAATTTTGAAGCATGAGTTCTCATACTCCAAAACTGGGGGGCATGTGTTAACAGTGAAATTTGGTAAGCCCGGAGTAGTCATCGGCTTAGAGTCAGCATCGGCTTCGAAGTTCTGAGATTAGCCGATGAGAGTTGTCAAGTCGCCATTTGTCGGATTCTTGCTATATTTGGTTAAGGAAATTGATCTACTAAAGGAAGCTTATCCAGAAGAGACCGAGTTCAAAGAGAATGCGGCATGGCAAGTTATCTATTAATTAGGAATAGTTTGTTAGTTTCCTTTTATCTTTAGGAAAGTGTGTTTAGTGTCCTATAAGGACTTTATCTTTTCCTTTTATCTTTAGGAAAGTTTCTTTCTTGTCCGACAAGGAATTGTATCAACCCATGGGTATAAATATGTACACCCGGGGTCTATATAATTTATCTTCACGATCAATACAATTCGGTGCATCGCCACCTTTTATCTTTTCTACTTTATTTTATCGTCCAGCGGGGCTTGGCACCTGACGCTGGGCTGCATCGGTGTTCGATCTCCGGCTAAGGGGTAAGTCCTACCTATTTATCATATGTCTCTGTTAATCTAGTCTTAGCATATCAATTTAGCTCTATCGGCTGCTTCTCGTTTTAGGGTTTCTGCCGGTATCGGCTAAATCACGTTGTTGGATTAGATTAGCTTAGACATCTACCACCCTGAAAACTCAATCAACGGCTTGATTGTCTAGATATTATGTTTCTTTTCATACTTGGTGTTGCATCAGTTAAGTTTGATCTACTAAGTCGTGCTTAGAACCATAATCTCTAGCCTGCTTTTGACTGCCAATAAGGGTTTCATCGGGGTTTCAGCCGATGAGTTATCTGGACGTTGCATCGGCTTGTAAGGATTACATATACATATAAGTTGGATTTAGCCGATGACAACAAAGGTTTCACTGTTTAATCTAATATTGTGGATTTCATGACATCGGACCTCCAGCCGATGTGTGCTTTAACCTTCGGATCAATACTTGTTCTACTATATCATATTGTTAGCCGATTGGTTTCTACTGGATTATATTGTTATTTTATTACATCATCATCAGCCGATTGCCGATGACAACAAAGGTTTTACTGTTTAATCTAATCTTGTGGATTTTATGACATCGGACCACCAGCCGATGTATGCTTTAACCTTCGGATCAGTGCTTATTATATCTTGTTTCTAGCCGATTGGTTTCTACTCGACTATATTGTTATTATATCATCATCAGCCGATTGCCTTTATATCATCATCTACATTGGACATATAGCCGATTGCTTAAACCCTATCGCTATCGGCTGGTATCGGCATCGACTATTATCGGCTATCGGCTGGAACTACTCCATCGGCTTGTCAGCCGTTCGGCTGTTTTGATCTACTATTTGCATATATTGTCAGTTGCAGGATCAAACTGACTGGCACGCCCGCATCTCACCAATCTTTGGACCTGCACAGGAGCTAAGCAGATCCCCCAGGCCGGTGTGTTCGATTTTTTCGTCAACACTATCCGACGCCGCCCCAGCCTCCCGTACGCTCGTCGTCGCCCATCGACTGTGTTTGCCAAGGTCATCATCGCCAACCACCGCCGCTGTCGTCTGCGTCGGCGCTAGCCCCGGCTGCCGTCGTCTGGAGGACTCTGCCCCCGCGCGGCATCCACCCCTTCGCCACCTCCACGCGATCTCCGCCCCGCGCGGATTTTGCCGGCGGCATGGATTCGGGGCCGCGCCGCCGCCTCCACGCGATCTCCGCCCTCGCGCGGATTTGGCCAGCGGCATGGATTCGGGGCCGCCGCCGCCTCCGCCTTCACACCCTGGGTCGTCGTCGAGGTTTTCGTCGTGAGCCACCACCGCTGTCGTCCGCGCAGTCACCGTCGCGCGGACATTGTCATCTACGCCGTCGCCGGCTCTGTTGCCCGCGCATCTGCTAGCTGCTGCTGCTCCCAACTGAGGATGTGGCGGCGGTGGCATGAAGAAAGGGAAAAGTGGCGGTGGTGTGGAGGGAGTGATCCCGATTGAGGATGTGGCGGTGGTGGCATGGAGAAAGGAGGAAGCGGTGGTGGTTTGGAGGGAGTGCTCCCGACCGTGGATGTGGCGGCGGTGACATGGAGAAAGGGGGAGCGGCGGCGGTGTGGAGGCAATGGAGAGAGAGAGAGAGAGAGAGAGAGAGAGAAGAAGAGAAGAATAGAGAGGAGGGGTGAAGAAGAAGGGTAGGGAGTGACATATTGGGCCCACTGTCATAGACTTGAAATGGAGAGTGTAAATGGAGAGGTTGTTGGAGTAAGCAGCAAGTTCGACTTGCCAAATTAGATGGAGAGCTGGCTATATGGGTATTTGGAGAGTCTAATTTAAGGAGTCTAGAGCATCTCCAACAGCCTCTCCAAGTGACTCTCCAAGCCAAATTTTAGCTACTTCAGTAAAAAAAACGTCCTCCAACAACCTCTTCAACCGGATGGCTAAGCTATCTCACTGGCCAAAAACCCTCCCCCCACTGGCCAAACTTGGCCAGCCAAAAGTCACTGGCCAACCGTGGGCCCCACACACATCCCTCCCATCTCCTCGTCGGCTCAGAGCGGTACGGAGGAGATAGACGCAGCCCGCAGTATCGACGACGGCACGGACGAGAGAGGCGCCAGAGCTGCCTCCCTCCATCCGCATACCTTGCGATCGCCGTCGTCGCCAGCCGCGTCGTCACCGTAGTCGTCTGCGTCGTCGATAGCCGCCATCGCCTCCCGGCTCGCGCGCACGGGGATCCGCTGCCGCCGTCGCCTCCCGACTCGCGCGCGCGGGTAGCCGCCGC